AATTGGGGATTGAACTCCGACCTTTGAGCTTGTCAGGGAAGTACTTATAGATGAAGAATTTCAATTAGCATCATTCGTTTCTAAGAAAGATTTCTAAGATGTCTTACAAGATTATCAGTAGGCTGGCAAATAATTTTTAAAGATTTTGATCAATTATTCAGTGAAAATTAAACACTCTGAAAACTATCAAGTCCTAGAGTAAGTCTGTGATTTAGAGTTAACGGCAAACACAATGTCTATGTATTACATACTCATAATGGGAAATAGAATTGAAAAAGTAGTCCAATCATATAGTAAAGATCATTAATTAGACATTTAAAAATATTGCAACTTCCCCTTACTAATTTTTAATCATTCTAGGTAATTATGAATCCAGTCTATCAATAATAAATAGTGTAAAAGTATATTTTCCTATAATTTGTAATTTCCTCTACAGATGAGTTAATTCATTTACCTTATTGTCCCACATATATGTAGATTTATTTCTAGCATTTTATTTATTTTTGAAGTTACCATAACTTTTCATTCTTCATTTCTCTCTAGCCCCCCCAAATTATTTTGAATTTATTCAGTCATATTGTTAAATTCGTAGTCAGCCTTAACATTTTAATAAAACAATTGAATCAGTAAAGTCTAGTACAATAATGGAAACAATATATGAAACAGTATATGGAAATTGGCAAGTTCTACCTTGGTGCACACCTTCCTGTGTTCCACATTAACACTGCCTACAACGTAGCTCCATCTTATTTGCCATTGCCCCTCAATTGGTCTTCTTCACTTTATTTATTTGTTCACTTGAACAGGGTTTTGTTATGTTGCCTTGGCTGGTCTTGAACTCCTGGATTGATCCTCCTGCCTCAGCCTCCCCAGGGACTGAGACCACAGGTGTGCCCTGCTCACTGTCATATCTAGTTCTCTGCTCTATTTCAAAGAATCAATTCTAGTTATTTTATTTGTGTATTTGGCTGTTGCAGGATCTCACTACACAGCTCAGACATGAGTTGATCCTCCTTCTTTCAGCCTCCCCAGAGCTGGGATTATAGGCACATGCCACTATGCCCAGACTCTGGGGGCAGGGCTGGCAAGGCAAGTGGTGCTGGGGATCAAACTGCAGTCCCTGTGCTTGCCGAAGCTTGCCTAAGCAGGCATTTCAGTCCACTGAGCTCTCTTGCTGGCCCTCAAAGAATCAGTTCTTATTTTAGTCTTCTGGTAATCTAGTGAGGATTTATGAATATTAAGCATTCTCTCCTAATTATGTGAAAACCTTAAAAATTTTTTGTTTAGTAATAAATGTTGAATTTTTTTATCTTATCCTCCATGTACCTTCACATCTTTTACATAATCATTACCTTTATCTTTCTTCCCTGTGCTGTGAGAAGTTTTATGAGGTAAATATTCCAGTTTACTAAATTTTTCTTCAACCTTATCTATAGTTATTCTGGATCTCATTTTAAATCTTCTATTAAGTTTTAAATTTCAATAGTCATACTTAAATTTCTAGACCATCTATTAGTTTTTTCAAATGTATTTGTTCTTTTATAAGATATTCTATTATTTATTATGCTTATATTCACTTTAGTACTTTATTCATATATTCATATGGTACTTTTACTTACTATTATGTAGTCTGATTCAGATTGCACTGAGAACTCTATTATTAAAACTCTAACTTATTAATTATGCTGCCGACTCTCTCAGGGTGGGTGGGCAGTTCTCTTGGGTGACTAGAGCTGGGTATTGTGAGCTCATTATTTTCAGGAGTGGGCTGTTTTCATCAAACCAATATGCTTAGGTAGCACAGAGCAGTTTGTCATTTGCTCTGCTAGTGCCCCAGAAATTTTACTAATTATTTTAATTATACATCTTTAGGCTTTTGTTCTGTGTCAGTACCACCCTTGGGCTCTGAGGTCACCCACCTCGGCTCTGCTGGTGGCAACTGTACCTCTGATACTTGAAGCCCTCCTTTCCTTGCTCCCTTCCCGCCTTGCTGCCTTTGTGTGTGTGTGTGTGTGTGTGTGTGTGTGTGTGTGTGTATCTGCAAGCATGAGGGCATGTATTTTTTAAACTATTTATTTATTTATTTGGTATAGGGTCTCACTAAGCAGACTGCTTTGACTCATAGTGATCCTCCTATCTCAGCCTCCCCAGTGCTGGGATTACAGACATGGGCCACCTCTCCCAGTTTCAATGGCTGGCACAGTGTGGGGCCTGCATATCACATGGTATTGGGAACTGAACCTGTGTCCTTGTGCTTGCCAGGCAGGCACTTGGACCACTGAGCTATCTCCCCAGCCCACATATGTGTTTTTTAAGTTGTTGTACTTTCCCCATATCCTCTGATTCAAAGGTTTTTTGATTAAGGTAAGTGGTTAAGGAAGAAAAGCAACTGAATTTGATTGTTGTTAACAACAAACATTCACAATAATATTTTCTATGGACTTCATTCTTTATTGCTCTTCAATATCCATTTAGCTTTTAAAAATACTACATTATAAATTCTAGCTGATTCTGAATCCTATTTGCATCCATTATGAACTTAAATTTCTCTTTCATAGCAGTGTACATATGTTGCTATCAAAATGGTTTGTATGTAAATTCAAGTGGATTCAGAGGTGATATTTCCTATTTGGTTCAATGGTGATAGATAAGCTTTATTTTCAGATAGTGTTGTTAGATTGCTGAAGAGCCAGGTATTAACATTCAAGACACTTATTCTGCCAAAGTGCATGAACGTTAAATGATGCAAATTGCAACCTTTTTCCTGTTTTCTATTCTTATTCTTTTTTCTTTACATAGACCTTGTCCTTCTTGCAAGCTTTGTAGTTTCATCTTTAGAAAGCTTTTGTTTTCTAAAATAAGTGCCAAAGCAACCCTACTTCTTTGAAAGACGTTTCCAGCAATACACTGCCAGAAACCCCAAGCTTACTGGTAAACAGAAAGTATAGCTTTCACTGTAAAATACTATAATTACACAGCACAGCAATATCTCTGTGGTTTTTATCACAGAGGAAATCAATAGCAGTATAGACTACAATCCTCTGTTGGGCTCAAGTAGATATAAGAGGGGAGAAGAAAGAGCTTATTGACTTAGTAGGTAGCAAATCAGAGCAGCAGAAATAACTAGCCCTTTAATAGAATATTTTTAATCCACACACCAAAATTTTTCCATCTAATAAAAGACTTAATAAAACAAACAGACAAGCAGACAGACAAAAAGACAGATAGCCATCTCCCCTTGTAGCCCATTTTTCTTCTCTGTCAATACCCCCTTCCAGGCTGTCACCACCAGCAAACATCCATAAGGAAAAGTTGTACTGCTCTGATGTTGGCAGAAATTATGGATGTTAAGGGATTGTATGGAATATAAATCTTAATTTGAATAGTTCATGTTTGTATTTGACAAAAGCCACAGTAAAGAAAGTGTCATTTTGTACAACCAATAAAAGATCCAGAGTTCCAACATGTGGCATTATTTTCCTTATGAAATAGCCTGCTGTTAAAATTTTTTAATATGCACAGTAGAAAGAGTGGGTATTAAATCATCCAAGGTTGAACTATTGTACTGAGAGAGGGAGACAGCATAAAAGAGAAAAACTCCAAACATTGCTACTTTTCTATCACACGAATCAGTACATTCTACAGAAAAGGAAAATACTAAATGAGAAACTGTTGAAAAAAAATGTCTTGTGCCTGTCATGCTGTTATTTTAACCCTCAATTCAAACTCTTGCCTGGAGGAACAATCCCTGAATCTCTGGGTAAATGGTTAGCAAACAGATGGATCCTTTTCATTCTCGCATTTCTGGTACCAACTTAGCAAGATGCACAGTAGCTGTCCCCAATCACAATCAGAAGCTGCACGCTGCTGTCAGCAACAGCCTGCTTTCAAAGAAAGCAGTGTGTGGGCAACATAAAAATGAGAGCCCTACTGGATAGCTATTCCCTGTGAGCAACATTATTATTTATTTGCATGTTAAGTAAGATTTCTTTTTAAAGGTCCTTGTGTGTATAGACTCTGGTAAACAGAATTGTGTGTATGTGGTGAAAACGAAATACTTTTTTTTTTAAATAACAAATACAAACATCCTATACAAATATATCTGGTTGCTTGTATTCTGCAAGCAGATTGTAACGTGTTATGAGAACCATCAATATTTGGCCACTGTAAGATCAGATCCAAACGTGATACACTGCTTGCTCTGCTGCCTGCACTGGAGGGACTGCAGAGTACCTCTACCACCTTAATTCATGGTCATGACAAGAAATGATAAACTATCAACATGAAAAGCATTCTCAAGAAAGAAAACAAGTTTGCAAGTATAATAAATCAAATCACTTTCTCATTAGGAAAATGTAAGTTAACAACGATACAAAACCAGAGACTATTTAGGTCATAGTACTCATTTTATGCCTGAGTTAATCTTTTGTACTTATTTTAAAACTTTAAGTAAGGTCTGTGTAAGTTAACTAAATTATAGCCAACTATCGCTAGTAACACAGACCCACCAATCTCAAGTTCTGTGAAGATGTTCTTACTAAATAATTATTGCAAATTAGTAAGATATAAACCTGCAGAGGCAGGTGCCATCCTTATAAGTTTTATAACTGGTTTGTTGCCACGCATGAACAATGAAATAAGTAGCTCACTTTTTGGACGTCATAGTTTGGTTCCTTGAGGGGTACAAGGTGCCCTTTGCTACCTGCTAATAAAACTGAGTCATAATTCTGTGGTCCGGACAGAATGATGAACGCACTGCATGCTTGCAAGAAAGCTGCCTGTCCTTTGTTAGCTGGACACAGTTTACTCATTCTGTTTCCTGGAAGATAGTTTTATCCAGCTTTGAGAGAAAGCTATGCTACTGCTACATTGTCGCAGTTTATTATTGCTCAGTCTTTCATTTCTAACACTCCCTCCCAAGACGTCAGAATGACTCACTCTCAGACCCTCCCTCCAGACCCTCCCTCCGCATCCTGTCCCAGGTTGCTCCCAGGACTTACTCTGCATGCAGAGTCCATCGGTGCAGTTCTTGGACTGCAGGACCAGCCCTTCGCAGTCTTTGCCCCCGTTCTTGGGCGCCGGTGCCGTGCATTCCCTCCGGCGCCAGTGGGTGCATTCTGTCCCGCAGGTGGACCACTTGCTCCACGCGGTCCACCTGCCATCCACTGCCACAGAAAAGTCAGTGTCAGTCAGAGGGGGAGGCAGCTACATGCAAGTGCAGGGTGCAAACCCAATTACAAGACAATAGCATGAACAGTAGACAAAGCCCGGCCAGAAGGCTCAGTCACTCCAACTCGGGACATGGGTCACAGCTCCCTCACTGACAAGGACGATGGGCCTTGGGAAGCTATGGGAGCCACAGTTGGCCCCACGACTTGAGCACAGCTAGGTCATGGTGGTGCTCCCTGTCCTTTCCAAGGACACTGCTGCATTTTGTACTGAAAATGGGAAGGGTCCCCATGGGCGCAAGTCTCCTTCCTGCTTAGTTTCATGTGGTCAGCGAACGTCAATTTGTACAGGAGTTTGGAGGAAAGGTTGGCCCTGTGGGGCAGAGACCCACCCAGCTTTCTCTCCTCTCTCTGGCTCTCCCGCCGTGCTCCCATCACCCATCCCTTCCATCTGTATGTGTCCTCTTTACATTAGCACATGTTTGTGGCACGCAACGTTACACTCATCTTAGGGTGTAGGCACATGGACTTATTTATTTTAATTTTCCTTTCCCCTCCCCTCCTCTCTTTTCTTCTCTCTCCATCTCTAGATCCCTTCTCATCTGCAGAAAATCTGTCACTTTACTCGCTGACTGTCTAGCCTTCATTTCATTCTGTAAGTTAGTATTTATACTTTTGAGTTTCTCATATAAGACATTATATGATTCTTAAACTTGTGTGTTTGATATATTCTTTTCATTTTTAACATACAGATTGCTGGTTGTGCTGAAACCTTCTGCCATGTCTTCTGAACATGATTATATTACTTTCTATTTATTATCTGATGACTCCATTCCATTATGTGATGATATATCCATGCATATTTACTAAAATAATATTTAGTTAAGTTCCTAATTTTTCCAGCCATTTGTTCAGAATTGAGTTACTTTCTTCTTATTTTTGTGGTTGACAGGATTATTTTCAATAATAATGAACTGAGATGTCTCTACTTCAAAAACACTACTTAAATCCCAAGTTGGAAAAAATATAGAATAAATTTCACTGTCATACTTTGCTGTGCATTTTTTAAAGTTTCTTATGGGAATGTTGAGCTGAGTTTAAAAAAATATTCCTTTTGTTGAAACACATAAGTTAATATAATTCAATTCCATGTAAAATAATATCAAACATCATTTATTAAGATTTCAAACCTCTGAAATATACATATTGATAAAAGCGACTAAGTTGTAATAGTTTATGTAACTGAGAAATACATGATTTTATAGCCTAATTGCTACATGAATATATCATACATAATGTGCATGAAAATGTAAGTATGTGTAAGTGAAAAATGAGGAAAGCATTTGTATTTCTATCCTGCAGCACTGGCTGTACAAACAACTCCCAAGTATCTGGAGCAAAGATATTCGCTTTGACCTAGATTCTGAGCTAGCATCTTTGCTTTCATCCCCAATGCACTGAAACACACAAGCACTCAGGCACGCACGCGCACACGCACACACACACGCACATGCGCGTGCACACACACACATTTCAATTCAAATCGATCAATGCACTTTTAATTGTGGAGTGAGCATCTAGATAAAATATAGGATAGTATAGGATAAAAATCTCAAATTCTAAAGCTTAAGTATCAAATTTGTGCCATAAATAAAGGGTTGGAAAGAGTTCAGTGAGAGACTGCTTTGGTACTTGGATATCACACTTGGGAATGTGACATGCAAATTGTGTTTTCTATCTAGTTGATTTCTTCAGTTCATTTCTAACAAAGGTTCTATTTGATAAAGAAGAAAACATCTGGTAAAATAAAGAAAAGTAAAGGCTCTGTGTATCTCAACAATGAAACTGATAACATAATAACTACTCAAGGAACACACTAAATTTATGAGTTTTTTGAAAATAATTTCAACTTAACTTTGACATGCTATATAATTACCCATGTTAGCAGATTTTGGCAAATATTAATATTAGTTTACTTAGGAACAGGAGTGGCTATCAATATAAAATAATACAGAAATATGCCCAGAGGTAGAGGGACGCTCTCATGCTGTAGGGGTGGAGGGATGCAATTCACTACGGCAAACAACTCGCAAATAAATGACCAACATGCACAGATAATAAAGAGCTGACTGCATTGTATTTTCAAAATCCATTATCCCACATGTCACAATGTTTTGCTTCCTTTTAATTTATTCCAAATGCTTTATTTGCCCTTTCTCAGAAACTGACATTACATATCAAATAGTCCAGTATAAAACATTATCTAAATTTCATTTCCAATTAATTCCCATGGTTTTCTGAAGATCAAGTGTTATTGCTAAATGTGTAGTTTTCTATGCTGTTCAAGTCCCTTGAATTATAGAATCTGCAATCTTGGCTTAGTGGTTCCATTGAATACTCTAGGGGGATTATGTTTAGAAGTGTTCAGCTAGCAACTGCTTTGTATTATTTTGCATGTTTAGATCACAAAGCTAAGAACTCTTTCAAAGAAATTATTTGATTTTTCAGCTATGTAAACACAGAACTTAGAATAGCTTTAAATACTGTTTATCACACCTTTATGTCAGTTTATCATACATTTATGTCAAAGGTAAGGCCTTTGATCTGTTTCTGAAACCTACTCTAGAAAGATGGGACATATGTGGAGGAAGGGCCCTGGATTGCTTACCTGGGCATAGTGTGGTACAGACTATTTTCTGCACACTCTGCCCTTCACAGAAAGCACCACCATTGAGCGGAGCTGGGTTGGTGCAGGTCCTTGTGCGTTTCTGAAACCCTCGTCCACAGCGGCTGTTGCACACGGACCACTCTGTCCAGGTTGACCAGCCACCATTGACTGAAATGAGGAGAGTCATACAGAGTGCATTAAACATCTTGCATGCACCCCCAGACATGCAAACCACACAATACGTAAATGAGGGGTCAACTCACAGTGACTACTAAAAAGCCTAAGTGGGCATTGTTTTAAAGTTTTGTTATACAGCTGAAGATTCGAAAAATAAAGATAAATAAAATTATTGACTAAGATTTACTCACTCAAAACAAGAAATAAGGCTGCATTTCCTTTGTTGGCTAAAGTTCTTTAAAAGTATGTATCTTTTACCTAGCCAAGCTCTAAAAACCATGTTTGATAGCTGATCTCAAATAATGAATGTTTACATCCTTAAGCCAAGGCTAAAAAAGGACCTGTAGCATGAGAACTAATCAAAAATCACTTAGCCTTCTTAAAAAACGATGACTGGTTATTTTCTGTAACACATGCAAAATTCAAAACCTTTTAAGGATTCTTCATTTCAAAAACTGATGAATGAACCTAGTTAGAAAGAAAATCTCATAGTGTTGGAGTGGTAAACAAATTGACTAGTAATCTGATTGACTTAGCAATTAGTTGAGATCATTGAAATGGGCACCCATTTTGTGTGGGAAGTCTAATTATAATGTTTGATGGAGCTGTCAGTATACATGTGATTAAAAACCTATACCCTAACACTATTGGCAGTATTCATCTCTAGAGAGCTCCCTCTACAAAATGCTTTAAAAAAAATTCAATAGTGTGAGTCTATGCAATTATTGCAATGAAATAATTCCTCTTTTGTTGCAATGAAGTAATTGATAACAAAAATTATTTGCTGGTAGTTAAAGGATGGTACAACTAGTAGAATCATTTGCTTTCATATTGTAAACAAATGTGGTAACCACTGAAATAACACAAAGCTCATATATAAGTATCATTTGTCCAACATTTTACTTCTAGATACCTATCCACTAGGGAATATATTCTTATATACAGAGATATTTTCCACATCAGTTTTTTTTAACATAATAAGTAATTAAAAACATCTATAATGTTAAAAAGTAGGACACTACGTAAGTTTACGTGATGGACTTCTTTAAAGCAGCCACTGAAATTGACACTACAGAATGTTATAGTAAGTATTTAGTACAGTAGATATTTCCATGTTATAGTTTAAGTAAAAATATACTTTTTCACATCCTGTCTATGCATAGAAAAATCCATGGTATAATTTTAAAATATTATCTTTAGATGACAGGATTATATTCATAGGGGTTTTCTTAAGCCTTTATTGTGTTTTAAAATTTTCTCTAGTAGATACATATTTATAGTCTAAAGTGACTTGTAGTGTAACGAACAGTAAATATAAAACAGACTTAAAGTAAGACATGCTGGCTGGATGTATGTTTTGGATGGAATTCAGGTAAGGTTAACCTAGGAGCTGTGGATAATTTATTTCATGAAGCCACAAAAAGCATAAGTGGATGGTTGATGCGGAGCGCTTCAGGTAGAGTTCCAGAAAGCAACTTAACCTACCCGTCTGTGTAGGTTTCAACATGTCACAGGCCTGTCAGTAAGAACTTCCTGCTAGCATAGTGTCAGGTTATGGGATCAATGTACTGCTCTGCTAAAATTTTAGTGAAAAGTAAGCAGTCAGAAACTTTTAGAGACAGAAAGCTCTCTGCAGAACCCAGGCATATCCCTTTGTTCCAGAAAAGATGACAAGTTGCATGGTCAGGTAGTGGAACACCTACTCTAAGAGCACAAGATACCTCATGCTTAGTCCTCGGCCTTAGCTCAGAGGGCTTCAGTTCTTTGTGTTTGTTCTTTCCTGGGGACAAGCACCCACTCCATTTGTGGATACTGAAAGTGTGCTACACTTAGGAAAAGCTTTGCATGTATATTAACTATCTATATAACACATCTATATATAGTCTGCCCTCGTTAGTTATTTATGATTGGGACACACTGTGATTGGGATCCATTTCTCCTTTGCATTTCAAATACCACTAATCAAGTCTTTCAGGCGGTTTAGACAAAGATAAAAAGTAGGAAACATTTTATTGTGATTGAAGATGCACAACTGCTTATAATTCAGCATAGCCATTATCTGGGCTAGGAAATTAAATCTCACAGTAATCATGGGATTAAAAAGAATGTACGCATCTGTCCTGTAATTAAAATGGCAGTTTTGAAACATCACTATATTCAGGCTCAGAACCTCATAAAGGCTTCTGTTCCCGTAACTCCTTACATCCTTAGCACACATTGACTGGGACATTACTACAAGAAAGACAAGATTTAATTCGTCCATTTCCAGACTATCAGCTTGATCTGAAAATTAAACTAGCACAAAAGAGATATACAGAAGAAAGCATTCATATTTATTTAATACAAGTTTTACATGGCATGGGACTCTTCATAAAGAAATGATGAACTAAAGTGACATTTCAACTTAACACTTTCATGCTGAATTGGACCAAAAGTTTACATTTTGAGAATGTAAATAAATAATGTGATAAGACTAAAAGGTTAATTTTAATAAGATCTATACAGGATCCATTGGGTCTCAACTTCCCGTCGTCATTGATAAGAATACTATTTTCCTTCTAGTGTATGGAAGGCATCTTTCACAAGAGAATCTCAGTGGTTTTGTTTTATAAAAAAAAAGTCCAGAGTGATCTAGTATATATTGTTTTTCAAGTGATGTAAAAGAAAGTCAATAAGCCAGAACAGCATATTTTGGGGTGCCATTGTTCTTAACTCCTTCCATCTGACCCACAATAAGAAAGCAGAAGCAGAGAGTCAACAGTGAGCATCATCCCTCTCAGCCCACCAGGCCCCAGACCTGTGAGCTCTGTGCACCACCGAGCAGCGCTGTTAAGCACCGCTGTGTCCTGTGGGACAGCAAGGCCTGCGCCCAGCATTCTAGAGGGGCGAGCATTGCAGCCTTCTCCGGGTCGTGCAGTTTTCTCTGTGGCTGTTAGCCATCAATACTGTAAGGACCTATCACGCATCTAACATTGTGACAAATACCTAAGCACACAGCTCCCTGTCTCAGTCTAAAAAACAGTGTGAAGTTAGACAAGAAGGGAAACCATCTGTAAAATGACTAGAACCCTGGGTGCTAACCTGCACAGGGAGATGGAAGCGCATGGTCCATCAGCAGGGAACTGGTTGGCATTTGTGCAGAAATGGCAGCTTTGGAGATGGGAGAGAGGAGAAGGAAGAATGGGAAGAACCCCCCGGGAATGCCTTTATGTACAACTTCGCTGTGCTATGAAGACAAGAGTTGCATGATAACAGATACCCACAAGTGGCTCTGGGTGCCTCCATGGAGGGGCCAGAGCATGCACAACGGAGGCCAAGTTGCTCCAGCGTGTGTAGGCAACAGGGCAGCTCCAGATTTCCAAAAATCAAGTCACCATTGGACCGAACCTCAATCTGCAGAAACATCAGCGGCTGCTTTGAGCAGCTGTGTCTGTGCCACCCTCACTTTTGGCATCAGAAGTATGGAGCGGAGGTGAGGACTTCGGGAGCAGCAGGCCGCTGGGAGGCTGCCTCTGCTTTCCTAGAAGCTGAGGGACAGAGTGCTAGCGATTTCTTAAGTGGAGCAGGGATGCAGCTAAACCAATGATGCCAGCATTCTGTTTAGGGAATATTAAAAAAAAAAAAAGTTTTCTCTTCAAAATCCTGTTCCTTGAATTTTTCTAGGTAACACATGAATTTCATGCAAAAATTTAAACAACTGCAATCACTGTCATAGAGGGCCTCACTGACTCTCTACGACAGTGGAGGCAGCAGCTATGTGCTTCGCAAGGGGCCTTGAACTTGAAATTCTAACATTAGATCGACACAAAGATTAATTCCAAGAAGAAACGGAAGTGCGAGCGAGCAGGACTGAGACCTCAAGCACACTCACCGTAGACAATGACAGTGGCAGTTGTGCTCCTCCTCTTCGCAACAATGTTTTTGGCGACACAGGTGTAATTTGCTGTATCAGAGAGACGGGCCTGCTTTATGATGAGGTTGTGGTCGATAGTGATATAAAAATTCCGATCTTCAACAGGATCAATTATGTCTTCATTTTTCAGCCATTCTACCTAAAAATGCACCAGAAACATAGGTTAATTCCCAGTATGTGTCCCTCAATAGCTGCTTGTCTAACTTGTGATGTGGAATCTACAGCCTTATCCATGCGAGGAACTTCGGCAAAGCAGGGAATGTAACTTTCTGAGGTCATGTGAAGTAGCACTCACCTGCCAAGCATGCTGGTTCTGTCTGCACTACGTTATTCTCAAATGTCAATGAACCAATTGGGAAATACAGTGTTGAAATTGTTTCCGCTCTGCCCTGCAGGCAGGAACAGGGACTACGCACTTCCAAGTTCAGAACCCAATCAAAAATAATGGGCCAAGCGTTTCAAACTGAACTAAAATCTTTTGCTATTTGATTTGTTTACTCTTGGCAACTTACCTGCTGCTTTTCAGAAAAGGATATAAGGCCTATTAAAAAAGCTCCAAAGGCATTTTAGACATCGGGTAGCTCTAATAAAATAACATTTGGATGCTTATGGTTCACATGTCACCTCACTGCAACACCCGGATCACATTTCCCTGAAAACTCACAGGCTCTAAAATGAAGCAAAAGACCTATCTGGAGATGCATCGTTGGGAAAAAAAGGGTTTCCTATCAACCCTCAATATAATCCAAGTAGTGTGTAAATCATACTCAGATCTTCACTCTCCCTCAGCATACACTCAGCCTCTCTCTCTCTCTCTCTCTCTCCCCCTCCCTCCTTCCCTCTCTCTCTCTCTCCTCTACCTTTGAAGCTTTGCTTTCTGGTTTGCTTTGGGGACATGATCTGGGCCACAACTGTCCAAAACTAATAAACTATTAGTGCTTTTATTTTTTATTTTTATTTATTTTTTGTGTATGTGGCCGGCTCAGCCTACCCTGGGGGTGAGGCTGTCATAGCATGTGGTGCTGAGGATTGAACCAACGTCCCTGAGCACTTGCCTAAGCTTGCCTAAGAAGGCACTTTAAACTGCTGAGTTATCTTGCTGGCCCACTATTGGTTCTTTTATGCAAATGATATCCATTTACCAACAATGGTATCTTTTTTAAATCAAAAGACTGTAATATACCTGTACAAGTTGTCTTTCTGTAAGGTGAACTTCATTTTTTTTATACGAAATTTTTGTTTTTTTCTTTCTATGCAGTTTTTTTTCTATAAATCAAAACAACACTAATATTAAACTTAAACTTTCTTTTTTGCACTAGAGTGGCTATGGATACAAGTAACCTTTAGTGGTCTGGAGTCAATATTGTTGCCATTTTCAAAATCTTAAAGAATTTCTCCAGCACTGCATGAGGTCTAGAATTAATCTCTAAATCTGTCAGTGGGCTTGACACAGTATGCTTCTATATTTTGTCTAATGTTGAGACTCTCAAATAATGTTCCTCTAATCCTTTGAAGAGAGGCCAATGTTTAAAGGAGGAAAAAGAAAACCAACCACAATCCTAAAATACAGAAAAGGATGGGGAGCTAGATTAAAGCAACTGTTTGTAATGATGTAAATTTCAAAATAAACATTCTTGATATTTATACTCATGGCACTGAGAAAGAGAATGGATTTGTAAAAGACGGGCTTTATTTTCAAACAGCAACTGCACATTCCCTTGCCCAGGATCTTCTCCAAGTCTAGCCCTGAGGGTGATAATATGACCTTGCTGGAAGTGCACAGGGGACGGAAGCAAGCGGTCACGTCAGAACTCTCCGTGCCAGTAACTGAAACTTGACATTCATATTCCTCTAATTGAATCTCTACCTGGGCTATCTATGGTGCCAACCTAAGACAGCTTTCCACAAAGGGAAGGAGCCACAGGGCACCTGCCAGGTGGGTTAGATCCTTTCTTTCTTGGGAGGACTCAGCATGCTTGTCTGTCAACTACTCACACCTGCTACTGTTTTCTAAAGCCAACCTTGAGATTCCTGGGTTCTCTTGTGCCAGATATACCAACCAGTTCACCATGTCCCTTATAACTCCTCTATTAAACCAGTTACCTAGGGGAGCAGAAATTTGCTTGTGTTCACCTGGGTCAGAGCCTGGGTTGTAACTCTCCAGAGTTACAGGCTGAAGCTATGTCCTCGAAGCTTTGCCAGAATTTCCACTATCACAGGCCATCCTGGGAATGCTTGCACAAAAGACTACAGCGTTCAAAGCTCAGCTCCTGATTTACTTCTAGAGAATCTTCTAAAAATCGCAGCTGCTCAAATGCCTTCTTTATAACCGATATTAGTTTAGTAACACTGATGTAATCCTCAGCACAACTGACATAAAGAGATCTCGAGGGATATTATCAACCACTTGTTTATTTGAAGAGTTTATTACATGGGGGTAAGAGTTCAATGTGTACACTGGACAAAAGCTTTAGGGACACAGCAGGCAGCTGCACATAGGACCCTTCTGTGTTCACTCGCAGGGGTGCATTTTACCTAGATGGCACTCATAGTGATGGGGCAACGCTGTGGCCTGGGCCTCAGGCCCTGCGCAGTCACTGTAGTGCTGTCAGGGCACTGCCCTGAGCCCTTAATGCTGCTTCAATCACAGCATTGCTTGACAAAAGAAACAAAGGATTCTATAAGAGAAAATGGCTGAGAGTGAAGAGCAGAAACCTGCAGCTTCTGCCAAGCCCTCCCGAGTTTCCCTGTTCTTATGCCTCACGTTGGTCTCTAGCTGAGCCCTGGGCCTTGACCCCTCCCCTCTGGGGAAACCTAGGTCAAGACTGCAGGTTGCCACTCTTGGTCACACTCTGGGCTCTGGCTGAGCTGCCCAACCCACTGCCGTGAACTCCACCCTTGCTGCTGGGAATCCAAGAGAATCCTCCGGAATTGCACCTTCCTTTTAGACTTCTAACTTTGCCTTCTCCCTATGTAAACCCAGCTCTATTTAATGCCAGAATTTTTTCTGAAGTCCTTTTCAAATAGAAGATGATTCATTTACCTGGCCTGGGGCTCAGGGTTAAGTGTTCTTAGCTTTTCCTTTTTTATTTTTATGAGTACACGTTTGCAGCACGTAAAGAACACATTCATCAGGAAGAGCTGGCATTGTACGCACACGCATCTCAATTCTTCTTATCTCGTCTTTCTCTTCCCTCCCTCCTTGCTACCCCCGTCTCTTCTCACTTGCCAAAATCTCCTGGCTTTCTATTATCTATCTTTTATTTTTTTATTTTTTTTTATTTATTTGAGAGAGAGAGAGAGAGAGAGAGAGAGAGAGAGAGAGAGAGAGAGAGAGAGAGTGGTGTGTGTGTGTGGCCAGCTCAGCCCACCAGGGGGCGGGGCTGGCTGGCATGTGGTGCTGGGGGATCGAACCGCGGTCCCTGTGCTTTGCCAAGCTTGTTTCAAGTAGGTGCTTTAGACCACTGAGCCATCTCTCCAGCCCCCTCTATCTTTTATTTTGTTCTTTATTTTTCACCCTTTCTACCCTGTACCATTCTCTCAACACTTCTGCTTCCAATTTCAGGCCATCACATATCATGTGACTTGTACCCTTTTTGGAGTTTTCATCTGGCTTACAGTGATTTTGTCCACTATAGTTTCTCATTATTTTTATAACTGAAAAGATGGCACTTCCAAAATTTCACCCCTGAGTTGCATGCCCTGCCCATCCCCATAACAACCTTGGCCTCTGAACTCACCCATTCTGGGCCTGAGCTTTGCGGCAGAACAATGTGCAGAATATGAATAGTGCATCAGTTCTAAATTCAACCCAAAGAACCTGAACCCAACCCAAAGAAATTTTAATTGCATGCTCTAACGAAGGATAGCACCAGTATTTTTTAATCTTCCTGAATGGTTGTAATCTACTGCTACGTTAATGCTTCTCAACATTACTGTAACCGTGGGAGTTGGACAGAAATGCAGACTCTTGGGCTCTGTGCCCCTAGACTTACTGATTGGAAGGGTGTGTCCTCCCAAGAACTGCATGGGATTTACGAGCACGCTGAAGTTGACAAGCACTGGTTTAACTCTTGTCCTTATATTAATTGCAACCTCTCCATAAACAGTTCAAACACCCTCTCCTTTTACCATTTGCTGTCTTTCCTGCTAAATTTTCTAGGAGTCCTCGTTCAACAGTCCTTCACCAGAGCCAGTAAGTCATCTCACTCACCTGCTTTAGTTTCAGTTGCTGTCACCTCTTTCTTCTTCCCAGTCGGTGCTGAATTACACAAGCAATCCCTGCATCAACCCAACCCTAGCAGCCCCTCTTCTGGGCACCTACTTGGCTACCACATCCCTGCCCTGGAAGGAAACTCATCTGGGTTCTGCATGTCCAATAGGCTCACCCTAACCTCCTGAGCATTGAATGCAAGTGGGTTCTTAGCTGGGCCCAGAAGTCACACTCCATTTGCACCGTGCACTGGCTCCGCCAGCTGGAGTCTCTTGTTTCTCTCTGTAAATGCTGCTTTCCTCTCTGTCCTCTGTCAGCCAATGACCAAGATTTCTAAGTCACTGAGCAAATGAGAAGCCTTTCGAAGAAGCTCTAACTTTCCATCTAGGCACCCCATTGTGCATGGTCCCTTCCGTTCTGCGGTGGGTTGTCTGTGCTCCCATGCACCTCCTCTGATTTGTGTCCTAATTCATTAGCTCTCTCTTACTCAATGGCAAGTCTTGTAAATCCTACCTCCAGTACTAAGTCATCTTCTCTTCCCTCAGAACTGAATTGCTTGCTTCCACAAGAATATAGGAAGTCGGTTACTTTTTACAACCAAAGATGCTTCTCACCCATTTTTGTCTCCAGTCCCCAATGGTTCTCTGCTTGCCTTACAGCTCCTAGCAACTGCTTTTCACACTCACTGACCTCATCCTTGTCACTGTCATTTCACTGGAACCAATTCTAACTGCATCTGCTTCTACCCTACCCTACCCTACCCCTCAGCTGCTCTTCTTAGTCATCAATTATTTGTAAATGTTCTGGTGGAGCTTCGGGCTTTCCTGGACTCCCCACAGCATCTCACACGTTGGTTCCTCTCAGCCTGATTTGTTTTCTCTGTTCATGGCCCTTCCCAGGTTTTGCCCTAGTGCACTTGCCCCCAG